AGAAGTGTGCTGATAGAGTTAGATGAAATGCTTTTATTGGACCCTTGTGAAATTCTAAATCACTGTAATATTTTTATTTTTATTTTTTTTCAGATATATTCTTAAAATTCATTTTTGGAATTAATGTGGTGTTAAACCACCTCTAGGTAAAGCCAAAATCAATCAGTTTTAAAAATCAGATGCACTTACTGAGCAGCATGTGAGGAGAGGAGCTGAAACAAGTCAAGTTTACACTCAGTGACAGAAAAGTGAAGCGCCCAGATGGAATCATCTGATTCATGTGGAATCTGGCCCAAGCGCAGATCAGTGATGGGAATGGAAACAGTTCAATTTGCAAGGAGCTGGCACCAGCCTTATAGGGGAAAAAAAAAATCACATTTCATACGGGTTTCTCCCCATGTGGCATGACAGAGGAAAAACGGGGTCACATGTTCCACATCATGACAGGAAACAACAGTGAAAATAATTACAGTAACATGAAAGACATGTTTTTAGATAAAGAAAAAAAAATCACACAATTCCAAAATAGGGTAATATACTACATGTCTATGTTTTCTGTTTTATCTTTTTATAGTATGTCCTAGTACTGTCCTGTTTTTTATTTTCTTTATTTAACCAGGTAAACCCCGTTCAGATCTAGATCTCATTTTGTGGCAATGGATAAAATAAACATTTAATTCAAGAAAATGTTTTACTGTTAAATGAATTAATGGACATTTGAGCTAAACAACAAAAAATACTTACTGTTTGTAATCTGTTATTTAACCTTCATTCTGGTGCATGATCATTCATGGAACTTCTTTAGAAATTTGGATGCTGACATTAGTGATCTGTCCTGCTGCTACATGGTAGCATTGAGATGCTATTTTAAGGTCAGGTAAAGTAATTTTATTTATAGAGCACATTTTCAGCAACAAGGAAGTTTATAGTGCTTTATGTGAATTAGAAGGAAATACAACAAAACAACAAAACAAAGGAAAACTACGTACTAGTTCCCCATGTTTAAGAATAAGTAGTCCTTTATTTATAAACTAGGGGGTTTCTCTAGATTCTTGTTCTGAAAAATTTTAGGCTTGAATAGCTTCACACTGATATATTATCTCCATTTAGCAAAATTTAAACACAAAAGTCTTTTCCAGCGCCCAAACAGATAATTTTTGAAGCAAAAATTAACCCCCAATGCGCCATGAGAAGCAGCTTTGTCGTCCATTGCTGTTGTTTGCAGATGTCGCTGTACATCAGATTTATGGAAGTACCAGAAACATATGAATGCAAAATTTCCATCTCGGGACTTTACATAAAAAAGCTAAACAAAAAGATCTTAATTAAAATTATTAAGAATTAATTAATAAAAATTGCTACATTAAAGTCCATTTTTTTTCCTTACCAAAGTATTTTTATTGAACTTTTCCACTTTTTTAAATACAGTCATGTACCAGTCTGAACAGGCTTCTTTTATAATTACTACATCACAGTAATATACAATTATAAGCCCATTTAGGGCTACAACTAACCCAAAGTCAGAAGAATGAAAAACAAAATAATAAAATGAATAAACCAGAATAAAAACAAAAAACAGCATCTCAAAACAACAGGGCTAAATGAGCAGCAAACAGATTGGAAACATCTGTACATGTACAATAGCAAATCAAGAGTCCAACAAGCCCTCTGTTGAAGTCCTTTTTTAATCATCTTTTTCTACATTTAAATTCACTATTTTATTTGGGCCTATTGCATAAATTCTCAATAAAGTGAAGTTTGTGGTTGCAATTTCAGACAAAGTGACCAACACATTAAGTGAATATAAATATAAATAGTATAAAGTACTGACTGCTGATTGACTGGGATATAAAAACTGAACGCCTAAAGACTGGGCCATGTTGAGAGAACTCAGTGGATCTAAAACTCTCCTTCACCCTTCACCTTCAGAGCAGCACTTTCCTCACGACGCTCCATAATCCATCCATCCTGCGCGAATCAGAAGCCCATTATTTGCCAATACTGGGTTCCTCAATTAAGAATGATGACATTGTTATCATTTAGTGCATTGCGAGGCTATGGGAAGCATTAATACCTGTCACAGAGGTTGACTAACAAGCCCCTGCAGCATTTTAAGTCATTAGCAGACCTGCTCTGCCCAGTGATCGATGTTCATTTGTGTTTGCTGCAGTCAGCTGTCCACTCTCACTTTCCAGCTAATCAACTTTATTTTGTCCACTTCCACACAAATGTGGCTCTGCTTTGATTTGTATTCAAAGTCACATTCAGGGCTCCTGAAGGCACGTACCCCAAACACAGCACCTGGGAATGCTGAGACGACAGTTCCTGGAGATGTTTAAGTGAGGGGCACAACAACTCTGTTATCATGATCTATGGATCCTCAGAATCCAGAGGGTGCATGTTTTTTTTTTTTTTTGTTTTTGGCTATAGTCCAGAAACCTAAAGAAGTTGCATGTGATTAATTTACATACCCTTAACAAGAAACAATGGTAATTCATTTTTGCATGTGGTAGATGCTCAGTTCGAGGTGTTGGATGGGAGATGGCTAATGGTGCCTGGAAGGGATAATAACACTCAAACCAATGTTTGGTCTAGTTTCTAGTGTTTCTAGTGCAAATATCTAACTACACTTTGAATAAGAAAAAAATATCTTATAGGTAACTTTTCAGCAAGATATACGAGGTTTCCCAATCCAATATTAATATTGGAAATTGATCCCATATCAGACAAAAAACGAGCATCAGATTATATGGGGCTGCATGTAAAATCTCAGACAGAAGCACACTAACAGAGGAACTCTGCTGTAGCCTTTCTACCCAGCAGGGTTTGTGTTCCATACCCAGAACCATTAGTTAATGGGATCACTGTTTTCATTGTTAATGTTGACAATTGTTCTCTGCTTGAGTAATATCACTTGATCATGCCTTTTCTTACACTCCACACTACATTCTACATTCCACATTAAAGTATGACATATTTACTTTAATAAGTCATACTTTCATGAAATTGAATTTCATTCACAAGCTATGTTCTCACAGCAGGTTTTGATACTCAATTCAGACTTTTTTTTTAATGAAATTACATTTGTTTTTGGCATGGTCGTTCATACTACTCATTATATGCCTCTGCATATAATGAGTAGTCTGGCAGTCAGACTTGTGTGGACAGTTTATGTCCACAAAGTGACCTGCATGCACAGAAACAGAACCTTGACATCACACAACAGCATATTGTTTATGAAAGTACAAATGCACGCCGCCATCTGCAGATCAGTTTTATGACTGACAGCACTAAGACTCGGCCCTTGGCTCTGGTTGGTTGTTAGGAGCACTGGCAGAAGCCTGAGGATACTGATTTTTCACAGATTGTCCATCTTATGCCACACTGTCAAGACAGTGACAGTTTCAACAAATATGTAAAAAAATAATAATAATAATGATTAAATGCAGCTTTAATATAACAAAAGCACTGGCAGAATTTTTCCACTTATGACATGTAAAAAATGTTTTATCGTAAGTAAACAATATAAGATTTTTTATTTATCAAAATTAAGGAGTTATTGACTTAACACAAGCTCATATCGCCTGCTGGAAAGTTACTTGTAAATTACTTTTGTCTTGTTTGAAATGTACCATAATATTTGCACAAGAAGGTAGACAAAAATACTTTGTTTTTTTACATTAAGAGCTTAGCACAGTTAACGTGTTCCCCTTCCGTTTCTCCGACTAGCTTGCGATGCTGAGATATCAGCGTAGAAATTCGTAAACCACTGTTGGATTCTGACCCGGATAAACGCAGGTATCCGATGGACAGAGATTCCTGCTAACGTTTCAAGCAGATTAGCTTTCCATTGTGGAGCAGACAAATTAGCACAAGAAGAAAAAGGGGAACTGTAGGGTGTCCTGGGATCTCTGCTGAGCCATGTTCCACTTCATTACCCTCTGAGTAATTGGTTAAACATGTGACTATATAAATGATCTCTCTGCAGCCTTCTGAGTATTAATTAAGAGCCCTCTCTTCCTCCTACCCGTTTTGGATAGCAGGTACTTTCTGCAATGCGCAGGGTTCCATAAAGACATCAGCATGACGGTGCCTTTTCTTGAATATACTTCCAGGAGCCAGCAAACCATCCAGCTTCATCTTTGTTTATTTATAAAACACTAAGTAATAAATATCCAGCAAAAAACCAAAAAGCTTCCTGATCTAGGATTACAGTTCATCTGAGATCCTGTCAGATGAACTGTCCCCGGGGGGCAAAGGATGCTCCAGCTTAGGTGCTAAACTGCCGCATGTTGTGCATGAGAATACTACACACCGTGATAGGAAGAGAAAAACCATAAGAGCTTAGCACAGTCAATTACAGACTTCTTTAACAAAACTGCTTCTCAAAACAAACAAACAAACACATTTTACTCTCAAAATGCTGAGAAAGCCTTTAGAAAGAGGAGATAAGCAACCTCAGTTAGTAATCAGTTTCTCAGGGATTAGTTCTCAGATGTCTCAAACAGTTCAGCTCCACTTCATAAAAATACTTTTACCCTGAGTGGAAACATATTCTACAAAAAGCTTGGAAATGATTTGAATGTTATTGGGACTATATCAGCGTAAGCATGCAAATCATGCTTTAGCGCTTAAAACCGGAACCAAACATGGAGAAACAGCATTCAGCTCCCATACACCATAAATATGGAACAAACTGAAAAAAATTTAAACTGAAAAATGGACAAAACACTGAGTTGTAATTTAATTTATACATAACAGTATAAATTAAAGAAATGTAATTTTCAGATTGTGAAACTGATGTGAGCATTGACCTCAGAAACAATAAGTTTGGAATACATAGGAGAGACCACAGACATCTGTTCAGACACACATTCCCAAGAAACTGTGCGGTCACAGTCCCCTACCTGTAAAAACAGCTGCTGGTCACGGTCATTCATAACAGGCAATAAATCACAAAGGCCAACAACAAGCATGTTTCTCACTGATTGAGTACTCACAGAGTAAGTGGGGTCTGTGCCTTCTCGCTCTTTCCTTTACAGCCAAGACACAGTCACTACTTTGGCAAGCTAGAAGAGAAAGAGGGAGAAAATATTGAGAAATTAGTGAGGAAAAAAAATTGATATGTCTTAAAACTGGAGATCAGCTGCCTGAAAAAAGGAAGAATGCAGTCAGTAGCACAAATATTCCTGATCGTGGCTCATATCTGGGTGATTCTAGGTGCTAGGTTTGGGTTTTCAGCAAAGAGGGGGTCTCCCATGGCAAGAAGTTCTCTCAGGGTCTCCTTTTGTGTATTATAAGCCTGCAGGCGCTATAGAATGCGCACCCCTTCAGTGTGGTTTAGAACTACAGTCACACCACTGAAGTAGTGTAATTAAAGTGTTACAGACCATCTATGAAGTTGGTCTGACCCAAGTCATCTGAAATGTTTCTTGAGCTCTTCATTTGTAGGGAAACCAATTTACAGAGCAAAGCCGAGGAGGGTTTCATTTGGACAAGGTGGGTGAGATGAATGTCATCTGAATCTTGACTGTTTGGTCAGGAACCATGGCCTTCAAAAGTAGAAAGTCAAATTAAATGCGTTCATAAGGAAATCGGGTGATAGCTCTTGCAGGCTGGAGAAATAGTATCTGTAAGGGGAGTCTTCAAGAACTCAACTGCAGATGCAGTGGTCAGGAGAACATTGGTGACTATGTAAACAGCAGGTGAATAACACTAACCAGGATGGAAGTTATCAAGAAAAAGCAGAGTGTGCCCTAAATGACACCTTGTGTCAGCAAAGTGAAACCTTAGTCAAAGACGAAAAACCAATTTACACAGAAACACAGAAACCGGTAACACTTTTGTTGTGATCCAGTCTTTTGTGTACATGTCTCTAGTGATCAGCGCCTCTCACACCAGAACCTATTCAAACCCAGGTCTCCGAATGGAAGTTCTCGGGATCGAAGATGTGAAGTACACCGGAAGTGTGAAAGAGTACATGCGTAGAACACACGGCTGAAGGATTTGTACGAGCAAATAACAAAAACAGTGGCGGATAGCATTTTACTGTGTTGTGCTACCCAACCTATCCAGCTTAACAACTTCTGAGACAGAACATCATATCAGAGACAGGCTGCTAGTTTCCATCTCATTTGTAAACCAAGAATCAAAAGGGCATGCCTATTTTAACAACATGCTAAAATCACAGTGCCATGTTGTGGCCTGGCATGAGAACTACAGCTGATTCAAGGCGTCTTATCATCCAAATATGGAGCTTTTCTCCAATCAGCATTTGAAAATACTGAGTTTCCAGTCAGTGATCTCATGAAAACATAACCTTTGAAGAAACACAGGGCTTGTACTTGGTTGTGTTTGGTTACAGTGGGGAACTGTGGGAGCTACTGGTTAGGTCATGCCCTTATGTCTGTAATGCCAGAAGTTAACATACACAGAATAAAATCACACACGCTTTTTGTCTTCCTGATATCTTGATTTCCCATCGTGTCTAGCCAGAAAGCAGTGTGTTACTGGTGCAACCTTAAAACATATCTACAGGTGAGCCTCCAGTTAATGTAAGTGTGTCAGTTAACCTATCAGAAGTTTCCAAATCCTCGACATCTAGATTTTCCCCTCATTGTTTAAAAAGACAATAATCACTATGTATGTAAACTTCAGATTTTTAAGACAATAAATATTGCAAATGCTGTTTTTTCAATACTAAATTTATATCTGAGAACAAGCAATACTGTTTCCATTAACTTAGTTCAGGGTATGGGTAGAATAAAGAGAGGTACTTCAAATTACCAGATGTCAAATGTCTTAGAATGTAGAGTTTTGCTGGAGAGAAAGATGTCTGGGTTTCTCTTCTGGGCCAACACCTTCAGGGCCTGACTTTGTATAGGTCAGAGAAAATGAACAAAATGATGAATGTGCACTATTGAATAAAGAATACCAAAAAATTTCAGAAAAACAAAAGATGTGCTTTAGTGAGAGATGTCATTGTGTTGACATGCAGAGTACTCTGAAGGCATAAATAACTAATAACTCAAGCAATTCCAATCATAATAATGAAAACTAATCATAATAACCTGGATTTCTGCACCTACACACCAGAGGCTATTCATTCATTCTAATTTGGTTTTCTGCAAGACAGACTCAATTAATGCTATCACAAAGAGCAGAATGGTTGTGCGAGTGGATAAAAGCTCTGAACACAGAGTACGTGAAAAATAAAAAATAAAACGTGACACACTAATACTGATTTTCTTTGTGAAAAGGGAAAGCAGACTGTGAGAATTAAACATGAACTGTACTTGAGTATAACAAGAAATAGCTTCTATTTGGAGCTTGTCTAGGGAGAGGAAACATAGCCAGTTGAAATACATTGGAATTCAAGACAGAATTCATTGGAAAAAGCTTTTCTGAAATGCCCTTTTAACTGCTGATGCTCTCATTTTTGAAAGGAATTAATTTGACACATCAAGGCTATTTGGCTAAATTTTATGGAATACTCCTATTGCTTACAAAAAGCTAATGCTGTAATTGTAAAACCTTAATATTGTTTGTCTTTTTTTGTTACTAATATGTTAGCTGGACTAAATTCTAAAGACTGAAAACTATGTTCCAAACAGCTGCTAGAAGCCCAGAAACTGAAAGTATCAATGGGGCAGCATTATGTGTTTTCCAGGCACATATTTCCATTTTATAGCACAATCAATTAACTATGTTAACTTCAGTTGTTATAAAAATACTACATATATCAAATATGAAGAAAAATACATTTTAGTTCCTAGTTTAACACCTTGTAATTGGGCCTCAGGAAGTCATCACAGTCATCCTCTATTAAATAAAACTATGCTTTTTAGACATACTGAGACATATCTGCTGTTCATTCAGGTTGCAAGAATGCATGAGGTCCAGATTTTAGCAGGTACCAAGAGGGCTAAACAGAATACAGTTGCTCTGCTTTATCCCTTAGAGATTTTAACTTTTGTCTGTCATGGAAGTGGAACATGGTGGATTTGACAGCCTCACAGGTCAGATAAAAATCTATGTACTGTACATACTAGGATCATATTTTATATTTAGAGTCATAAGGGGATTTAAAAAGAGATAAGCAAAATCTTTTAGTTAAACTAAAAGGAAAATTATGTTAACGTAAAAAAAGTAAAAGGAGAAAGATCAGTCTTTTTTCTGTATTTCTCTATATTAACATGTGTGCTATAAAAAACATAGCTATGTTAACTTCAGTTGTTATAAACTTGACTTTACTGTTGAGTAAAGTCAAGGCACCAATTATGTTTCAATTTAAGCTCAAAAACCTGATGGGAATCATTTGGCCATACTTCAATAGATAAAAAGATATACTCCATGTGTTTGTTTTAGCAGTATTAGCGGTTAGCAATTCGTAGCAATTAGCTAGTCATCA